AAGAACAAATATATATTGAAGAAAATTCAACTCAAGCATTCATTAAAGGCAAAATGGTCAAACTTCATTTCTATTACTTTGGGCATATTTTCAGAAGTAATCAGGGAGATAGAATTCTGGGAAGAGTAGATAGTCAAAGAGAGGAAGACACTCAACAAGACAGACTGACACAGTCACTGCCACAATGTGCTAGAACATAACAGAGACAGGCTGAGCTGGATATGGAAAGGTTCAAATGTGTTGTTGATATGTTCACTATGGATAAAAATCAACATATGAACACCACCTAGCCACAGCTATGTAGAATCCAGGCTAAGATACCAGAGGAACACAATACCACCATACTTACAGAGCCAAGAATATATATAAAATGGAAAAGCCAATAGTCAGAGCAGTGTAACTGTGTCAAAGCCTTGAAAGAAATAGGCAAAATCATCTCTAAAGATTACCTTACATGTGGTAGGTAGTTTGTAGAAAGATTGAAATAATAACCTGAGTGCCAGTGGTAGTAGACATGGTAAAGGACATCTGCTCCCAACCTTTTTTGTCCTATACACAGATACTGCTTTGTCACTGGAGCGCAAAAATGGAGAGTAACTAAATAGACTCAAAAGCCAAGGCTCAAAACTCATCACGTACCCAAGGAAAGTGAATCACCCAAAAGGGTAGTAGATAAGTAAAGCGAACCTAAGTAATTTTGTAAAATAATGATTTGAGTGATACTGTAAGGCTAAAGACAATAGGAACTGATTATATAAACTGTCATAAATTTGTTTCTCATCTAAATACAATCCAATAATATGAAGACTTCTTTGCATGTGTACCAGGGATGAACAAATAAATAGATGAATAGTAGACAGTAGGAGTCAAACATCTCACTCTTAAAGATGAAAGTTAAGTGTAAGAAAGGAGACAAAGCTAGGATGAACACCATAGTATTAGAGCCAGAAATACTATATAAAATCACACTTACGCAATTAGATATAGTGGGTGGGTTGAACATGGGAAAGACAATATATACACCACACACACAATCAAATGATTACAGAAATCTGTGTATATACATTTAGTACCCATGCTTCTATTTCTTAGCACTATTTCATGGAAGAGTCCAGAGGCATTCATGTTCCAGTAGCAAAGAAGACACCCAGCACCCAAATCATCCTAATGACCAGTCTCCAGTAAAAGGAACAGGAGCTACTTGATGAAAAGGCCATTTCAAGAGCTGAAGGAGGGAAAATACAAGATTCTCTGGGAGCAACATATAGTGCCAGAAAGTACAGAAGTGTTCCACAAACAGTAGGTTGAGGACATGGAAAAGACAGTGGAAATAGCCAGAAAGAATTTCCCATAGTCAAAACTGGAACAATGTGAGCAACAAAATATGTGATGTGGCACTGAATTGCAATTGAAAATATAAAGTAGAAACACCTGAGTTAATACTGATATAAATAAATAAATAAATTAATTAATTAATGCAATGAAAAAATGGACACTCCACTATGAGTCTATTCCAACTTGAAGGCAATGAGTTTTGAATAAGTTAAAATATAATACTTCATTTCATCCATGGGGAAGGGGCCATACATGAAAATTTTTCTAGGGTGCCTCTTTTGAACTCCAGTTCTCCTGCTATTGCGTAGCTCTCTCTGGTTATGAGCTGACTCTGCGTGCTCTATGAGATGACACCAGTGAGTGAAAGGGTCACCAAATGCTGACCGTATTCTTGTTGAACAGATGGACATGCTGTTGCTTTGCTCTGAAAGTCGAGGATACTTACGTTCCCAAAGAATTAAGCCCAGAAACATTCACTTCCCATGCTGATTTGTGCACTCTTCCAGAGGACCAGAAACACATCAAGAAACAACATGCGAACTATTTCGTTATTGCATACTTGTGTAGGTTTTTCTTTTAAAAAAATAAAAGGACTGGGTTTTTTTATTTTATTCTGGTTTATTAACAAAGTTCGTATGTGTTGTTTTTCACACCAGATATTTTCCATTTCTTATCCAACCCTCCCTCTACCCATCAAATTGTGCTACCCTGTATGACTAATCCCCTGCCGATTCTCACTCCTCTGCTGCCGCCCCATCCTCACATTTTACTAGTTATCTTTCTATTTCTACTATAATGGTCTTGTTGTTGTTAGGTGCCGTCAGGTTGTAGATGACTGATAGCTATTCTATGAACGAAAGGCCTGAGCACTGTTCATAGTTTCCAGAGGCAAGTGATTTTGGAAGTGGATGCCTCTCCGGCTTCCAGGCTTATTTTAATCAGGAAGCTCCACCAAACACTGTCCACCCTGGGTAACCATTATCACATTTGACACATCAGTGTCACATGTTTAACATCACAATGGCCAGGAGTTACCTCTGTACAGCAATGCACAGACTAGTGCTAAACCACTTAGAAGAATGTTTGACATAAACAATTTCGATCAGGCCTAAAGGCTACAGGCCCTCAGGCCTTAATGGATTTTTAATTTTAGGAGGCTTTATCACCTCATTTCACTCCTCTTAAGGAATCAGCTTTCCACCCTAATCTCACCAATCTTGGCCTACAAACTTCCGCAGAACCCAGCTCCTGTAGGTGGTTTTCAAAATGGATTCCAGCCCCATGCTGCTGACCAAAAGGCTTTGGGACTGAGTTCACTTAGCATAATACTCTCTAGTCTCTCTCAAGTTAGGGACTGATTTTCAGAATCATTGCTTTCAGTTGTAAGAGAGCAAGGAATAGCCATATTTCACATGGCTTGTCTGTGTCAGTTATCAAACTTCCACTTAGAATTTACATAATATTAAAATATCACTAGAATGTCTATATTCCTGAACTCAGAAGAATAGAAGCATTTCTTTCATGTTGTTGTGGTGGTGGTAGTGATGGTGGTGGTGGTGGTAGTGGGTACCCTTGAGTAAGAACAGACCAATAGCTGACCTTTCAGTGATTTTTTTTCTCCTTTGGAAAAGCTGGTGGACTTAAACCACGTGCCTTTGGGATAGCAGTGCAGCTCCTTACCACTAGGCCACCAGAGCTGCTTCTGTTGAAATGTAGCTAGAGATTATTGGGATTTTCACAGAATTTAACACAATGTTCAGGATGATAGCATCACAATTTTGGAAAATAACAGTCGTGGACCATGATGTCAAATTGTTTTCATTTTTATTAATTGCATCACAGAGAAAAGAGCTAAAATATTCAAAGAAATTCAGACTATTGGTTTTACACCAACAGAAAAGAAAAACAGATGAATAAGCTCTAGATCTTCATTTCTCTTGCTCTTCTACTCAGGGTAGGCTGGAACAAAGAAAGGATAAATGTAAGTGTCAATTTTAAACATCATCTTTTTCCTCAAATATGTTAACATTGCTTAGATTTAGGCGAAGAGCAAACTAAGCCTCATAGTGAAAGGCACCAAAATCAGTTTAGAAAACGTCAAATAATTAAAGATGAAAAATAGTTTGACAGTTTCTTGAGGGGAAGAAAAGAAAGCTAGTTCCATTTTTCTTTTTTAAAAAAATGCTCATATTCTAACATATATGTTTTGTAGTTGACGATTTCATCATAAGAAATTTTATAAAATTTTAGCTCATTGTTGCATTGTAAGTAAAGAGCTGATTATTTTCCATTCGATGTAGAAGTCCACATAAAATAAAGCCATTTTATTCAACAATAAAATGAATTTGTTACTGAGCTATTAAGTTTAATCATGTGAAATCATCAATATTCAAATGTAATTAGCCTACAAAAGGGTGGTCCAGCCTACTACCCATGTATCTCACTGCTGGGCAGTCACTCCTCCGTGTAATTTGTCATCTAAATTAGAATAGTACAGTGGTGACTTCTCATGTTCTACACTCAAACCAATTTAGTTTGAATTTTGGCTCCACCTCCAACAACCCTACAGAATTTTCAAGACTCGCCCAGCAAATGCTGTTGACTGTGCTCCACCATTGAGTCCTTGTCAACTGGGCAAAAGCCACTTGTGGAGGAAAAAGCCATGGATGTAAACCAAACATCATCAAAGAACGTAGCTTTCAATATTGATTGTATTACCCATAGCCCAAGTCAAACACAGACCAAATGGAAACCAAGATTTTCCTTACGTGACTCCTATCAAGATGGGGGAAAAACAGACATCTAGAGTGAAGTCTCCATGGCCAGCCACGCAGACTTTCCCCATCATTACAGAATTTTAAAGACACACCCAGCAAATGCCAAATTTATTAAGATGACAATGAACATTCTTTAAGTGGTACAGCAGTCGTTTATCTGTTTGCTATACTGAATAGCTTGGAGTTACCAATCACTGGGCCATAGCTGTGTCAAAATGCCATGATGGTTACCCATCATGGACAGTGTTTGGAGGAGCTTCCAGACTGATTTAGGTTTGGAAGGAGTGGCATCCACTTCCTAAGCAAGATGCCACTGGAAACTCTATAAACATAAAGAAATTATGTTAATTATAGAACAGAGTTCATGTCTTTTGTTCATAGGGTTGCTATGTATTTGGTTTAACGACATATTAACCACTGCTAAGTGATACTAGTGTTGCTATATTTTGGAGGAACATTTTTCCACTTTGTACATCACCGCTTGTCAATTTGCTGTACTGAGGTAATCTGGGTTTGCTGTGATGCTGAACCTGTACCACTGGGGTGTCAAATACCATAATAGTTTACCAATGTGGACAGTATTTGGTGGAGCTCCTAGTTGTAGAACAGATTTGGAAGCAGGAGTTACATCCACTTCCTAAACCACATGCCTATGGAAACTCTATGAACTTGGAGAAACTTACAGAAAGGCTTTAGGTCTTTTGCTCAGAGTCATTATAAGTCATGCTTGACCCGACGACAACAAATACATATATAAAGTGTTTAAAATAGTGATTGGTACTGGGCAACTCACCAGTATTTCTTATTTTAATAACTATTATAATTACTTATATTTTTTTTAATGCAATTGTAATTAATTACCTGAGATTCTGTGTGGCCAAGTTGTTTTTAGGCTAAGGCAGCTTGAGCTGCAGCAACAAGTTTTGGACCCTGAACACAAAGAAATGACAGATGCAAGGGAAATATTAGCATTGTCAGTAGGAAAAAAAATTAACATATATAGGTATCAGTGATGGTGAATGTTTTTACATGGGTCACATTTTTAACTCAAATTTATTACTGAAACCGTAGAAGGACGTTTTCTGACACTTATTCCCTCAAGTGAATAAAAAAAAATTGCTGTCAGCATACAAGGAGAAAAACCAAAATTATTCAGACATCTAAATCTAAACTTTTTCAAAAATGTGATCACCTTTGTCCTGCAAAGCCACTGGTGGATTGGAACTGTGAAGGAGACATCACCATTGGGTTAGGAGCCCAATTTCCTATCAATTATACCTCCAGAGATTCCTCTTCATTATTTCACTAACCTCTAAAATCAAACTCTTAGATTCAATTAGGTCACAAAGCAGCCTTTCCAAGAAAATGGATGAATAAGTGACAGGCTTTATATAATTATATTTCTAACAAAATATTTCTGCTGTTTAATCCTTACATTAGTTCTACTGATTTCATCAACATCTCAGTTTCAGACATAGAACAGATTTTACAAACAATAAAATACTACCCAGCAGCATCGTAGAAAAATCAAAAGATTTTTGAATCATTTTGTAAAGCAATTTCATGTAGGAAAAGACTCCTACCCTTTATTTAAGTGTGTCCTTTAGGGATAAAGCACCTTTAAGTCCTAACCTAACCAAAGGCTGCAGCAATGGGAATCAGATGTGTGAGAATGAAGACAACTGCAGTACCTCCTCGGCAAAGCAGGCCTCTTTGTCATCAGCTGTGCAGCACTTCCCCACCATAGTGGTGAAATCGCCTGTCACTGTTTTCAGTTGATCATCTGTTGCCTTGGGCTTGTGTTTCACCAGCTCAGCAAGCACACTGCATTTGAACAAAAGAGTAGGAAATAGGTCACTCAGACAATGAAAACTGGAGGTGGTAAAAAGGTAGTGCTATTGTTTAAGATTTTAAGCGCCTGATTCATCTCTTATTCGGATTATTTGTGTCTTCTAAAAGTATTATATTTTAGGGCATTATTTTTATCGTAGGAGTATGCAATGAGGGTTGCAGAGTGGATTATATTTGGGGGTATGGGGTGG